TGTAAAAGAAACAAGTATTGAGACATTCACATGTTCAAAATCTGTCTTCTTCTTATCTTCTTGTTATCATCTCTTCACAAATCTTATTCTTATGCATGTACATTGTATCATAAAAGAGGTGAGCATACTACACTCACAATAATTTTTTATGGCATCAGATTCTGAACAATTTCGAAAAATAATTATCTTTAATAATGAAAATATAGACAAGATGATGCAGCCATAATTTCATGTTGTAGCTCACACTGAGAAATCGAAATTATAATAAACATGGCAACTATATAAACTTTTAAATAAGAAATATACAATTAATGTTAATTTCATAAGTTTTCACACGTTTCTTTTCACTTCAAAAAACCATGAATTATCTTCAGACACTGTAATAAACTCTAAATATATCTATCAAATTAGATACAATGGCACAAAAATGTATGTGTATACATACACATGTATTGTATATGTATGTACATATAGATGTATACTTTCAGTTTGTATAAACGGCGTATGTATTACAGCACTGGAAATGTAATGTTCTTTGCCTTATTGTAAATCCAATTCCATTTGTCTCCCTGAGACAAGAGTTTGAATTATTCGAATGTTACATATGTATAAAAATTAACGACGGGTAGAGTATTACATACAGTAGGTCGTTAATATACATAATATAATTGTAGCTTCTTAAAGCATAAATGGCAATGTACATTTTCTCTATAAAACACACATGGTTCTGTTGGCACAAGGCAAGTAGAAAATTGAACGTCAGTTTTAGAAAATTAACAGATATTTATCTTTCATCTGTTGTTTGCACAAATATTTTCTATCTTCCCATCAACATATCCAAGCCTCTCTAATGTCTCACACAAACCATTCACTGACACCAAAGAAATAGGTACAACATACTTGCGTATTACTTAAGCCCTGTAGTTCAAAGATCGGATTTGTCCTGCATGACTTCGTCTGAACAATTTCTGGAGGATAAACAAAGCAAAGTCAAAATGACTATGGAAATATATGGAACACAAAAAAACTACACCAACTCTTTTATCATAAACAAATACTGAACACATTCCAATTCGATGGCATGTTTTACATAGTATTCTGAAGTAAAATTTATCTAAAAAATGTAAATCGAGTTGGTGAAGAGATTTAAATATAAAACAAATATTGACAGAAAACACTAAATACAAGTATTGTATTGCGTCAAACCAAAAGAATGTAACAAGCGAGGACGTTCAGTTTAGGAATACAAACTGCATAGAATGAAAACCTAAAATCGTTAAATAAATATGTATTAGTTAAGCTACATATTAAATTAGTTGTTATTATGACCATGTAAGTAATGCTAATAGTCACCATTGTTAGTATCGTTTCTACAATGGTTGAAAACACTAATTGGATACTTAAGAGTAATCATGATCCTAAGAGAAAAGTTATTGCAAACTATTGTATTGTACAATATAAACCGCAAAAAACATTACACATCAATTTTGTTTCTGTTTCAAAAATGTATATACACACGAAGCTCGACACCAGAGAATGTCATTAGATATGATCAAAAGTAAATAACAGTGAACACTGTACTTGAAAAAAAATGCAAGTTTTACAATGAATATGGAAGGCTATTCCTGACCAAATATGAGTATTTTAATCCATAACATAAATTACGACATGTTATTCATAAGTCTTCATTTGAGTCTCTCCAAATGAACTAATAAATTTCTGCAACACATTTACAGTCTATTTAGTAATAATTACTTTACATTATTTGAAATATACATATAACTAGAAATTTCAATCCAGTCTTTAGAATTACTGAAAATCAAATGATTTTATGCATCTGTATACTGATATGCTTATATCACTGTGCAAAGAATATTTACGTATATGGATCTCTTAATTATTGTGTTTTAAAATACGAATAAACATAAAATGAAAGAAATTTAAGGCACAATAACAATGGGCAAGATGACCAAATGTGGTTATGCAATAGCAGTGAGAGAAAAAATTGCATTGCTTTTGACATACTAATTACAACCTTCTTAACGAAGCCATACTGAGGGAACTGCATTTGGCCTTTCGTGTCGGCTGAACCGACATGGGTGCTACTAGAACATCATCTCTAGATGGCGAGCCTGAACCACCATTACCCAGCTCCTGGAAAGATATATGATCTATTTATCCTATTATCATGTACACAGTTTTAAAAAAATACCTAAAGCAATTTAAAAAGAAACAACAAATCCACAATGATTAAAACAAGAAATGTATAACAAACAAATAAGATCCAATTAACATTTAAATTTAACTAATTAAAAAAAACACAAACAAAAAAATAATTGAAAGAACATGCGATTAAAAAGGTGTAATGAAAAATGCTTGTGTACGTAGTTTTTTTAAGTGCAAATATATTTTACAAAAAAAAAGAGGAAATAAGAAAACAACAAAATGGGATCCAGCCTAATTGAGCTTTTTGCTAGATAAAGCTATAATAGAAACAGAAAAAGAAAAGAACGAGGAAAGTAAATATCTGGTGCTATAAATGTGCCTCTGTAAAAGCAAAGTTAACTTCGTAAAAATATACAATTTTAACACTCGTAGAATCCATGCTAGGGATATTGCTTTGTTCATTAACAGGGTATAGAAATATAGAATTCTGTATCTAAATTGTGACGCGAAGTATTTTGATCCAGTCGAAACACTGCGTGACATCACGTTCCTAAAACGAATTTTGTCTGTTGAAAAGTAGATCTCTAGCAATCCTCCTCTCTACTCCCTTTCACGAGAGAAGACGTTAAAAGGATAGCATTTACAATATGTTTTTGATTCGTTCGTCATTTCATAAGTTAATACTCATCCAATAAAATAGGGAGCTACAACATACTTACGTGGTAAAGAATGAAAATTTATCCATTAACATTGTATTGTCATAAGCATGAGATTTATAATTGACCATGTACCAAAACAAATGTGGCAAAAAAGACATACACTATGGATGAATCAATGTAAACTCATGAAATAAAAAAATCCAGCAATGTATTAAAATGATCATAAGGAAATAATATATTATAATGTACGTATATACAATAAATTAATCTTTTGACTGGCATTTGTGCGATGCTTTTATGTAATAAAAAGAAAGAAACATGTTAATCCATTAAAATATTGGAAAATATGCAAGAATACAATGTATCAAATATTTATATAATGTTATACTGCCAATATATGCAAGGAAACAGATGTCAATAATTAAAAGCACGAATAGTTTTGCAGCCATGCATTAAAGCGCGCGCGCGGTTTCTACTATGGTAGAAAACGCATATTAAAAAACTATATTCAAGAAATAACATTCTCCCGTCGTGAAACGAAAGTAAGCAAGGAGATATTTGAAAGAAAGCGTAAGCGTATAGATCAGCAAACAACATGCATAATAAACAGTTAACTAACGTTAATATTGTTGCAACTAGCAAGCCGCATCTGTGCTAGCTGTTGACTTGCAGGAGTCAGACTATTCGTTGATCCAAATGGTGACATCATTGTTGACATTGCTCTTTTCAGTTTACTTGGAGTTTTGTTAAAACTAAACGCTCTGCCGACTTTCATCCTTGTACGAGACGCAAACCTGAAGAAAAATATTTGTTACAAATTTACTTCATCTATTGATCAAAAAAATTAATGCTTGACCGAAACTTTATTCCCCACAAAAACTTTGTTGCATTTGTAGATCTATAAGAATGTAACAATTCTTCATGATGTAATTACTTCATGACCTTGTACACTAAGTAGAGGGGAAATAAACTTTCCAGTAACCAAAGGAATTAGCAAACGTAAAATAAAAAAAAACCCCAAACCTTTAAAAACCAGTTCAAGTAAATATTATATTCTAATATATTGTTAATTTTAACATAACATGCAGAAGCCAAATCATAGACTAATAAATGTTTACATGCTGGACTATCAAAAAGATCTTCACAAGTGCTAATCTATATTACAGATATGTAAAAACGTGTAAATAGAGCTGAACTAAAAAAATTGTTTAATATACACTTTATCGTCTGTGAACTAAAAGCATATAAATAAATTTGTAAATTGTATTAATGTCTGACTCAACATAACTTTAAAGATTCTTATCATAAAATGTTAATAATCTGTGACAGGCTGATATAATCTATATTACGCTTGAACTGGTCAAATTATTCATTTGTGAAACTGTTTAACAATATAAACTTTGATTTTCAAAAATACAACTGGATCATTTTTTATACAAGCAAGGAGCAAAGGATCAAAGCAAATAAAAAAAAGATAATCAGCCTGGTGCGAAAACTGACGGTAGTGGGACATGTAACGTGGTTTCACACATGCTATTGAGTAGGAACACATACGGGTCCATATACTCCAGGTAAAAATTATGAAATAGGCTCCTGCAACCAAACGAGTCGTCGCCCCATTATTTTTTGTTAACATGCAATACAGGAGAAAAACAGTTTAGAGCATCAAATAACTTTTCCCTTCTTAATTGTGTATACTGTTCATAAAAATATATGTTCTATGTATACAATGTACTATCTATATTAAAAGTGCAATAACTTTATTCCTAATGCAATCTTATTCGGTTAAGCATGTTACACTTAAGGTTTGTTTGACAAATTGCCATCATTATTACAATGTTGGTCAAATTTATTCACGTGTACATAAAAATGAAGGACTAACATGCTAAACAATCCGAGAAAATTTTCGATAAAAAAATTGATTCTACATTTCTGTCATCAAAGTAACATACGTAATCGAAATAATAAATATAACTGAAGAATATACCTATAATTTAGTAGAACTTAGCAATAATGCGATTATATAGGGTGTTCCACAATTACTTTAACAGCCGAAAATGAGGGGTAGCTGAGGTCATTTGAAGTAACTTTTTCCTTTGCGAAAATACAATCTGCGACTTTGTTTACGAGTTATTAACGAAAAACACTGACCAATGAGAGGTGATGGCGCGAAGTTCTAGAGCCCGCAGCACGAGGCTTTGACAGAAGGTCGGGACGGACTCGAGTCGCGTTTGAAGTATTGAACAAGTCACGAAGCGTGAACTTCCCAGATTTCTTTTACTACGTAACAGTGATATTTTTAAGAAAAACGCTGTTCACCTTTA